ACAAGGGCCTACTGACTTTTCATCAAGTGAACATGAGTTAATTACTGAAATCAAGAAATACGGCATCATCAGCATCCCAGAAGCTCCCTGTACCCCCTCCTGGTCACTACTCTGTCCATGACCAGAGTAATCAGTATTCTGACTTCTAAAACCATAGACAGTGTTTGCCTATATCTGAACTCTCTATATATGGATTCAATAGACTTTTTTATGCCTGGCTTCTTTCAGTCAAATTTCTGTTTGTGAGATTCATCTCCATTGCTGGTTGTACAATTGTTTGTTCATTTTCATTGCTGTATATTATTCCATTGTGTAGATGCACTACAATTTATTTTCATTCCAGTGTTTGTTACAAATAATCGTCATTTAATAATAAGAATAATAATACAGACAACTGTTTTTATATGTAGTTTATATAGACAGATATGTGCATAGGTAATACTAATTTTAGATGATACATCCTAATGAGAAGGGAAGACTTTATAATTGTTGGAAACATAATAACTTCTTTAAATCGAAGGATTTCCCTTTCCCTTTCCTTGGTTTCCGGGGTTGACTTCATTTAAAAACGATAGGAAATGGAAACTTTGTAATGACACATAGAGAATCCAAACATTCTTTCATAAACACCTAGGTGCAGTTGTGAGAACTGGGAGCACTACAGATACTTAGTCCTTTGTGCCAGACGTGGTGGAGGACCAGATGATGCAAATGGTCAATATGATTGGCTGCTAACTAAAAGGTTCTAGTTTCAAGTCTACCCAGAGACACCTCAGAAGAAAGGCCTGGTGATCTACTTCTGAAAAATCAGCCATTAGAAACCCTGTGAAGCACGGTCTGCTCTAACATGCATGGGGGCTCCGTGAGTCGGAATGAACTCAATGGCAGCTGGTTTCTTTGTTTTCTAACCAGTCATGGTACTAGAGACAGGGTGGCAAAAATGAATGATGCCATTTCTTTATTTCTTTTTTTGTCCCTATGGACCATACATTTTCTTTCTCCCCATGGACCATGGGAAGGTAGACATAGGACAAATAATTTATGTGTAAGGAGAGATACAATAGGCGATGCACTGGGTGGCTTGGGGGTATGAAAGATCCTGCCCTCCAGATCTTCTAAGGTAAGTTGCAGCATAATTGAACCAAAATTCAAATAGCAGTACTACCACTTACCTGATAAATGTCTGTGGACAAGTGGCTTCTCTCTCGAGTTGAATTTTCTCTTTTGTAAAATGGAGCTAATGCTATGCCCCTATGCCAGAGAAGCACATAAAAATCCTTGCTCTACCCTAACATGAGCTTCTATTATTATGCTCAGAGATAAGTGCAGCACAATCTCTAGCCAAGGGAATTAGAGAAGCAAAGTACCGAGGATGCTCAGAGAAGGGAGAGATGGCCACCTTGAAGGATGAAGAAAAATGTTCATTCCTGGAGATAGAGGCAGGGCATCTTGCATGCAATAGGTGAGAGGAGGCAGAATTGTATGGAGAGGTAGAGCTCTAAGATCCATTTGTGACAGTGGAGACAGCAGTGAGGGGTATCATTAGGACCAATTCCATAGTCCTAAAGGGCATTCCTCTGGTAGCATAGTGGCTAAGACACTTGCTGGCTAACCAGATGGCTGGCAGTTCAAACCCACCAGCCACTCCTCGGAAGGAAGGTTGGGCAATCCTACTTCCATAGTGATACTGCTTCAGAAACCCAAGGAGGGGTCGCTATGAGTCGGGGACGACTCGACGGCACATAACAACAACAAAGGGCATTCCTGGACTCCTTCCAAATGTAGGTAAGCAGAGACCTGTTCTGCAAAGTTGGATAGTGACACCCAAAGACATTTCCTTCATGATTGGCCAGGAATCCCCTAGTACACTGTGAATATCCTGGGCTAGGTCTGGATTAGAACTGATGCCTGAATCTTCCCATCATGCACCATCAGAACCATGCACCCCAATTCTCAAACCTAAGCTCTTAATTAATATTAGGATACTAGGAGTTGGGTTCTAGGGTGGATGGTTTTACATGGGACAACTGATCTGTCTGTCCTCCTTTAGGGTAATAACCTTTGGGTTTTTTTTTTTTTTTTGTGTGTGTGTGTGTGTGCGTGCATGGGCCAGGTTGGGGGGCACATTTAGTTGTTTATTTTGGTTTCTAGCCTCCCTCCAACGCAGTGCTTGCTTGTATATTTTCTCAGCCTTTTACTTTGTTTTGTTTTGTTTAAAGAGATTGAGTGTTCCGAAGTGTCTAAGAGAATTGGACATATTCTCAGTCCCAAACAGACCTGATCCCTGTCCCTAGCAACCTGGTGTCTGTCACCTAGCAACCTTCAGTAGAGTTCCTAATTTCAATCTGGTCTTTAATTTTACTTCTTTGGCTGAAACCACAGTTGTCAAATTCCACTGCTTGAGGAAGAAAGTATTCTGTGCCAGATGTTTGATCCTGTTAGTTCTTGGAGAGCTGTGGCAGTATCTATCAAAGGAGCACTAAATACACACTCAAATATTCTCTCTCTCCTATCTGCTAACTTGCCGCTGAGTTTTGCTCTGAGCGACCCTCATTCCCCTCCCTCTGTATTTTCCCCTTGTGTGAAAGCAGTCTGTGAAAGGATTATTATTTTTTTAGCATCTCATTAGCCAACAGCAGTTCTTTTAATCTCAGTTTCTCCTTTGTAGCCAAAAAGAGGACTGGGAGGTGTAAGAGAGAGGCATGTCATAAAAATTTATGTTTGTGTTATCCACTTTGACTAATGATGCCTGCTGCCCCTTAGGTTGCTACTACAGAGCAGAGATGCCAACATTATCAGTGCATTTATATGGCTTACCCTATGGGGCAGCAGTTCACAGTCATCTCAGACTTCTTCTGTGGACTTTTATAATAAATAATTTCTAACAACCCCTTTGCTCTCCTGAAATGAAATTCATTGAACATATATTTTATCTACACACATAATTATTTCCAAAAATCAATTCGCTGGCATAACTATACCATAAAGGAGAAATGAAAGCTAGGTAATTTATCATAAAAGAAGCTTCACCGGAAAAGATAATGAAGTAGTCATATTCTGATATCTTTATGAAGAAACCGGTAGGAATGATGGCTAGAGTGAATGAGCTGCATTGTTGAATTAAAAACCATAAGTAATGTTGCCTTTGGTGCTGTGATTTTCAGAAATGGTAAATGAATCTTGCTAAAGTATTAAACAAACCAAGTACAATCTCTGTCAAAGGATATGTTGGTAAAGCCCTGAGAAATTCAGGATGTATAAAAATCATGCAAAAAACACTTGGCAGGAACAAAACTCAACATCATAATACAGTCCAGGCTTATTGGTCTGATAGAGACTGAGGAAACTCCTGAGAGTGTGGTCCCTAGTCACCCTTCAGGCCTGGATTTGAACTCACTCCCCTGGCTTCCAGCCAAACAATAAATAGGTATACACGGTGAACATTTACACCGGGTAGGTACACTGCTTAGAACAATCAACCCTGGGCGATTAGAAGGACAGTATATTTGCACAGGGAGATAGCTCAGTGGGCAGGAATGCATAGGAAAGGACATAAGGAAAAGGTAACCACAGGGAGGAAGTGGGAAGAGAGCTGTTACATTGTAGGAATTGCAATCAATGTCATGAAACAAAATGTATAAGACCTGCTGTATGGAAAATGAATTTGCTCTGTAAACTTTCACCCAAATCACAATTAAAAGCAAACAAACAAACAAAAAAAACACTTCATATACATATAAAATGGAATTTTAATTTAGTGTCAGATAATACAAAATAGGTTTTTCACTTATGTTATATGTATCCATTGCCAGTAGGAAAGTGTATGAACATGGGATTCTTCTTCATTGACTAGGACATCTGGTGCTACACAATTGTTCTAACACCACAGAAACAACCCCCCACCCCCCCTCGCCCACCCCCCGCTTTCCAGAGTATCTCTTAAGGGGTAGCACCACCCCTGTGGCAAACAAAGGCATTTTCATTAGAAAACAGCTTTTCATTTAGTCACACTGGAGCCCCAATGTCCATAGAGTGCCTCACACGCATTGAGCGTTTGCTGAGTGAAAGAAGCTGTGGCAAGATTTTCTAAGGTGTTGGATAATCTACCAGCAATTTCTGTGGATGTTCCATCAGAATTTAGTGTACTGATAGAGACTGAAAATTCTAATATTGGCTTTAACTTTTTAAAATATACAACACCCTATCCACCTGATGATTGTGTTAAGTATTATTTTGTACTTTTCCACTGTGATGGTTCATATCATTACCTTTATGAAGGTCCGTACTTAATAAAATAATCATAATAATAAAAACCAAACTCACTGCCATAAAGTCGATTCTGACTCATAGCGACCCTCCTTGGGTTTCTGAGGCGGTATCTCTACAGAAGTAGATTGCCCAGTCTTCCTTCCAAGGAGTGGCTGGTGGGTTTGAACCACCAGCCTTCTGGTTAGCAGTCAAATGCCTTAGGCAGTATGCCACCAGCGCTCCCTATTCTTAACAGTGCAACAAAAATGAGCCAGATTTGCATGTTGATCCTTGATGGTGTGATCTAAGTTCAGCAGAACCAGCTTTCTGATCTTTTGCATTTGGGTGGATTGTGGTGCTAGCTACTGAATGGAGAACGCAAGAGTTCATGGCATTAAGTTTGGGGATCAAGTGTACATTACTGGTTTGATCAATTTTATGTCTTTGTAAAATATCACAATGGATATGCCATTTAAGTATTCAGATTTTAAAAAAAAAATGGAGCATAAGAGAAATGGGAGATAAGATCTGAGTCGTCAGCTTAGAGATGGCCTTTTAAGCCATAAGAAGGAATAATTCTACATGGGAAGAGATGAGAGGGTGAAACAGCCCCAAGTCCCATTTTTGGGATTGATAGTCTGGTAGACAAAATGCAGATATGAACAACTGTGTGTTGAAAGGAAAACAAAAATCAAAATAAAACTTAGCCACCCACAATAGCAGGAACTCATGAATCGGAAATCCTAAGAACATCTGTAAACTATCTATGCCCAGAGAAAGAGTGAGGTATGGCCAACTTGAAATAGATACAAGAACAGTATTTTTATGTGACATGTAATTAGCTTTTGGAACTCACTGCCACAGAATATTTTGGGGTAACTAGCCTAGAAAAGAATTCTATAAAAAGAATTGTTTTAGACAGTTGTAAGAGGTAAGAATAGTGTGACTACACATTAGGTAAGGAGCTGGATGGTACCCATTCCTTCTCTCATTTACCTGGTCTCTCTAAATTAATGTCCCAAGACCAAAACAGTCTACAGACACATGAAAATGGTTTCTTCCAACTACAAGGTGACATAATTTCCCAGGTGCTTGGGCAGTTTTTTTTTTTTTTTTTTCACCCCAGTTTCTCAGAAGCACCTGAATCAGCCAGACAATAAGTAGATGGAGGGTGCAGGAGGAAATGAAGTATCATTCCTGAAAAACTTCTAAAAAAAGGAATGTGCTGTTAATGGCTTTGATTTTCTTTAAAAATTTCCCTCTCTAAAATTACAGCTTTAATACTTGCAAAATACTACTTTATTTCCTTGAAGATTCTTCTCTAAAAATCAAAAGAATTGTTGTTAGGTGCTGTTGTGTTGCTTCCAGCTTATGCCGACCCTGTGTACAATAAAACGAAACACTGCCCTGTCCTTTGCCATCCTCACAATCTTTGCTGTGCTTGAGTCCTTTGTTGCAGCCCCTGTGGAATCCTTCTTGTTGAGAGTCTTCCTCTTGTTTGCTGACCCTTTACTCTACTGAGCATGAGGATCTTTTCCTGGGACTAGTACCTCCTGATAACATGTCCAAAGCACAAGCGATGAAGTCTTGCCATCCTGGATTGTAAGGAGCCTTCCAGCTGTCCTTGTTACAGGACAGCTTTGTTCGTTCTTCTGGCAGTCCATGCGATATTCAATATTCTTCATCAACTCTGTAATTCAAGCACAAAACTCTTTGTCCATCTTCCTTACTGATTGTCCACCTGTCTCATGCATATGAGGTGATTGAAAATACCATGGCTTGGGTCAGGC